CCGGTCCCTGAAAAAGCCGGATCCCTGTCCCGTGCACCTCTCAGAATCCATCCCTCCTTGTCCAGTTAGGAGTATATCTCACCAACATACTTAGTCTACACTCTAGGCGTCCTGTAAAATCTACCAGAGGGAGATGAAAAGAAAGTTTCAAACTAAACCCTCTCGCCAAGGTAAGTATTGCCACACATGTGGTCTCACTGTACCCAAAAAGAGCGTGGATTTCTGGGGTAACAGTTGTAGCTGGTTGGCACACCGTCAATAAGATGAGAACCTCCCAGTGGGTCTCAGCCCCCCGATTTTGCTTTTCGCTAGTGATGTTAAGTTATGAAGAGGATTGACATCCGAGACGGAACCAAATGTACCACAAGATGATTTCAGATTGCTTGCGGAGCGCGTGAATGATAATGGCTCAGCATTTAACCTTGATAAATGCCAAACAACGTTTCTGCGCATTTGCAACTGCCAAAAGGTATTCTACTCTCCTCGTGGCACGCAGAGAAAGGCCGGCGACTAATCGTGACCGACAAGCAGGACAGCAGTTTCAGTTGTTCACAAAATACCTTCGCAGCCTGTACAGCACTGTACTAAGTGCCCTTCTCCGGGAAAACTTTCTGCCTAATTAGAGGCTCACGATGTCAATGCACCATTACCTGAAGAGGGATGTGAAACTCCGGGAGAAAGTTCAACGGCAAAAGACAAAGGGCGTTGTGGGAATGGGGCGAAAACCCTATGAGGACAACTTCGAAGACTTTATACCTTGCCGCCTTAGTCATTGTAGGTTACATGGCCTACAAAATACCAAATAATATAAGTTACCCGAACGGCGGAATTCTACCAAACAGCCACTGTAACAATCCTCACAACAACCGAAGGAGACTCATTCATTTGAAGGTTCATACTTTTCCCCCGTAGGTTTGTGGTCGCTGAAATGCACTGTCCACTGGGATCATTATAATTTACTCCATCTATAGCTTGGTGAAGAGGTTGGACAGCCACACACCTACGCACCGCTTGAGCTCATTCGGCGCGCTCCTTGAGTAGTGACGTGTTTCGCTCGTCTCTCAGCTTTTGGATTTTTCCACAATGAAAAACTCCCACTTTCAATACTCAATCTAAAAACATAGAACGTTTGCAGCACTTCTGTCCGTCCACGCACCTCACCCCTGCGCATTCGTCAGCTCACTCCTCAACAGTTGAAAATTGGCATTATTATTCCTTTGAACCAACCGGTCTACCTCCTGTCAGTGGTTCTTGGGCGTTTCAGCTGCCAAACTGCCTTAGCTCTCGGTTCTCCTCGGAGGTCATTCCCCAGGAAATATCTTCCCTGGTTATACATACGCATCTGGAGCTTACGGTTAAACTCGTTGGTCAAGAGCAGAGGATCAAGTGACAAGTGTCTGAAGGTGAGCCAACATAAATTATCTTCCCTTTTCTATTCTGTCCTTTTCCTGCATTCAGTCTTCAACCCTCTTATTGTTGTTAACTACTTGTTTTCCCAAGAAGTTTATATCATAGCGACATGTCTGCCCAAAACGCTAGGTCTGAAGCTTTGACACGGATAACGCGGTCGTGCACAACAACGGCCAGTAACACCCTAAACAACACACTAGTCTGTACTAGAAGACAAACAGAGGTAGGGCAGAACATCGAACTTCTGAAGAAGTGGCCAACCCATGTTTCTAGAATTCCAGTAGCCATCAGACAGGTGACACAGAGTAGCACTAGCCCGTCACAAACTAGTCCTATCTTGAGCAAGGATCATACCATGCCTGAACATAGAAGACGACGTAAAAGGCTTCAGAACAAGGCAGCCACAAGCAGTTCGCCACAATCCGTAGCACCTTATTCATGGAAGGAAGGCTGTATTACGACACCCGATGGCTGCAGTGTTTGCACCAAAGTTGTTTCGGTAGTCGATGAGGCATTTGCATGCAACCTGTGTCAACGATGGGTGCATTGCCACTGCGATACCAAAGTCCCCCGACAATACTATAAGCTGATGAAGAGACAACCATGCAAGTGGTTCTGGTACATCTGTCCAGAGTGCAGGAAAATGCCCGCACTCCGCACAGAAAGCCTGAAGGAGATGCTCTCCGCCACGCAAAAGCTACCAGCATCCTCGAATAAGGTAGGGTTAACACCAAAGGATAACACAGAGAGACCTGGAAACAGACCTAGAGCTCCAGCTGTGGGCACGCCATCTCGCGTGGGGACCATATTAGGTCAAGTCTCCATACCCCCACCCGGCCCCAGGGGACGTCAAGCGCATGGCCAAAGACATCGACCGCCGAAGCCTCTACGAAACCCATTCCGAACACCCCACACACCGTGACTGAGAAACAACCAGTGGAATTACTCAAACCCATTGGGAAGTCGGGCGTGCCACCCACAACGAACCCAGGTCACAGGAGGACCAACTCGATCATTTTGTTCAACGTCGATGTATCGACAGACTCATTGTTGGTCGAGAGGGAACAATTTGACAGCCGAATGTGGACCGACTACTGTCAGATGCTGGGACTCCCTCCCCTCCCTGCAACTTTGTGTCGCCTTTCTCGAGGAAGCCATGCACCCCGAGATAAGCCACCCCCTTTACGTGTGTCCCTAAATACCGCCAAAGAGGCTGAAGACACACTCCTCCTCTCGCGACAACCGGACGTTGTTAATGCCTGTAAAATTCGGGCCAGGCCTGACAAGCCATGGTCAGTAAGAGAGGAGGAGAGAAAGTCAGCGGTTGGAAATCCCAACAGAAACAACACTATAGTTGTACATGGGATTCCAGAATTGCCAAGTGACAGCTCGGTCAAAGATCGGTACTTTCACGACGTCCAACAATGGCAATGGCTCTCAACCAAAGTTGGTCTCAACAGTATACCGGCCAACAGCGTCAGTAGACTGCCAAGGCCAGCGCACCTGAAGACCATACCCAATCCCAGACTACTTGCCGTCCAGTTCGACTCATATGCCTCCCTCACAGACGTTCTGCACGCATGGTATAATGCGAAAGATCGCATGGGTGGCTCAATACGTATATGTGAAAGTAAGCCTAGACCCACAAGGCAAGAGGAGAGACGGCAACCACCAAGACCTCTGGAGTCAGTGGTCGTCACACAGGCGCTGACCAGTGAGTTAGATACATCAAGTAAAGAAGCCACCACTGCTACAGCCCCCACCCAAGTTAAGAACAAAACACAAAAAAACGGAACAATGCCAGTCCTATGAGGACTGGCGAGGCTAGACCCAACCACGTAAGCGCTCATCCTGCGAAAATACACATCCAGACCTCCCCCTCATCAGGTACACTCTAATATGTATGTACAGCAACGTTAGGGGGCTAATAGGGAAGGTAGCAAAAATGAGGACGCTGCGTGAACATCAGCACTCCGACATCATATTCATCACCGAATCCTGGCTCTCATCGGACATCTCCGACGAAGAGATGCGTGTTGCTGGCATGGAACTCTTCCGCAGGGACAGGGAACATAGAGCAGGAGGGGGAGTGGCTATCTACGTAAACTCCTGTTTAAAGGCAAGGATGGTTAGCGATACGGCCTTAACCCAGCTCCCAGAGTCTCTATGGTGCTACTTCACTCTCTTCTTTATTCTCTCTTCATTCCTTTACCACTACCTTACTATTCTCTTCCAGGTACCTACACAGACAGGAGTCATGGCAGTTCTCTAAACTTCCCAGCAACCCGTAGCTCCCTAATCACTCTACAAATTACAACCTACTAACCCACAAAACATCCACCTCACCGAAGCTAAAAGCAAGAAAGCAGAGGGGATTTCCTCGTCCACTGCAGGAGTAAACCGAACAACTGGAACCAAGCCCTAAGAACTAGACGCGAGAGATCAAAAACTACTAGTTTTCTACGCTCGCACTATCAATATTGGATATTGGATATTGGATGTGGTATACGGATCAGGTCGATACAACAGACTAATTCCACACAAAGTGGACATCATTCATGCATTATGTATCTTTTTTGCAACTGGCTGGAACAACTGTCTGGTTGCATGGTACTTGAGGAACTCATATGCTTTGCAGTCGTTGGAAAAACCACACAATCCTCGCACTCAGCGGCCTGTCAGGTTAACCAGAGCTACAAAAGGCAGGCGGGTAGACCTACTGCATCGGAAGTCACCAGAGACGTTTAACCCATCCACAAGATCCAGAAGCGATTATGAAGAAACCAATTGGCTTACACAGTCGCGGAAAAGAATATTGGGTACTGAACACGAAAACGAGCGATATTCAGTTTTGGCGGTGTGACGTCCTTGAAATCTTAATAATCTACTATCCAGTATCAGTTTTCGGCTTGTCCCACATTGAATTATTACCTTTTTTTATTTGTATTTTACTATTGGGTGTGCTTGCTTAGTCCTTGGTTTACTCTGTACTTTATATTATCCCACACATTCATATAGGAACTGACCGAACTGCCACCACGAAACGCGTAAGCACATAATTATGTGCTGTCTGATTGTGCGCAGCTACCTACAACCTTCTTACAAGCTAGTTGTAAGCCGTCAAACAGCTTGTGTATTTTGGATGTCAAGTGTGGGCTCTAGCTTGCTCACAGTTAAACAGATCTGCACCTCTAGAGGTGCAATGAACAGTAGCTGCGGTGTAACTGGTTTGCCAGTTTAAAGCAGTACTTAGCTTCTACTTAGTCCAAGTAAATGCGAACACTAGAAAGTTATCTATTCACCACAGGGAATAGTGTAACTCTTGAAATATTACTCGTCCATTTTCCAGTTTCGGTCTGCTAGCTGCGTTGTCTTCTCGTTGTTAACTATTAATGCTTGTCTGTTGCGTTAAAAAGTGTAATATTGGTACCCTCTTTGTGTTTGGACTGCTGGCATGCGATTTGCTTTTTTTTTCTTACTCAGGTACTGTTTTCTGTGCACCACTCCAACGACGTACCTAAGGTCTAGACGATAAGCTGCCATTAGCTGCACGTTACAAATTTCCCTTTTCAACTTGGAGATAACTATTGATGAGACAGACAGGTGGAAGGTGAGTTAGATTGCAATTTCAAATGCATAGTTAGTTTATGATGTTTCAAAGGAATCGTAGGTGTAGAGAAGTCTTGTATATCTACAGTTTCTTCGCAAAATTAATTCGTTCATATTGACTGGTCAGCAGCTACTACTTTTTACGTGGTAGTCAGCCATCCCTAACAAAACAACCTAACGAGATATGGTGGTGAAAACATTTTCTCGTTAAGGTTATTCCATGCCAGAAAGGTGTTTTAGATGGTCGCAGGCCAAAAAGCAGTAGCTGTTATACTGTAACAGAGATTGAAGTCTTACTGTTGACAGGACAAGATGTAATGGTGCCAAAATGGGTATGTGGCTAAACCGGAGTAAATGTCTCTTGGGATTTGTGACCATGGAAAAGTGACCTATTTTCGCTTTCATTTACGCTACAGAAACAATTTTCGCAGGCCACTTATAGCTTCCTTAACTCCCGGCTCGGCTGTTATTACCAACGTTCTGAGTCAGCTGAACGCCTTTCCTAATTTTCTAGTCACACTGCTAGTTACATACCAGAGCTTTCTATTTTCTAACTCGCAGCCGTGATAAGCTTTTTCGGAAGATCATATCAAGTACCTATAACTAGTGGTTTCTGCTGACGATATTCACTGTTACTGTTCCAGCTAGACCCCGTTATAAATGTGCTGAGAGACATTCCAAATACCCTCTACTTGGGAATTAACTTACTCCCAGACGGGAACATGATGGATGCAGACGACACTGCCCTGTTGGGTAAAGATGCTGATTAAATGGAGTCTGCTTAAAACTTAGGTACTCTTTTAGACTATAATTCTATTTTATTCTATTTATTAAAATCGTCGCAGTTAAGGGACAGTATTATTTACTGGGTAACGTTTCGGACGTAATTTACTGTCCATATTCATATCCGGTCTGCTTAACGCGTTGAAAAGAAATCTGATTGTTTTTCACCTGTCGAGTGCAAAATGATACATCGAGGCTGGTCCGCGCCATTTAGTTTGATGATAGACAGTAAGTTGATAGCGCCCATTGACCATTTCACTTACCTGCAAAGTTTCATCAGCCTGGATGGGTTGCTGACGAAATCTCAGCTTGTATACACAACGTTGGTTGGCGGTTACACTTTACGTTCACTTTTGGTTACCCATCAAAGGGCGGTTATGTTGTGAAACGGTCCCGTTTGTCCTATTATACAATTGAGACGACTCCTAAGGTTATGATCAATTTGCAGGTTTCTGACCTCAGCCATCTTCGTATCACTGCTGATATGTTGTGGATTCACCGTGTGAACAGTGTCAAAGTAAACATAGGGTACTAGGCAGAGAAGTCAGGTTAGTTGATGGAGTTATGAAATTTTATTGACTGTGAGGGTTTATGGGTGTCGCTCATCCTGATCCACCACCTGCCTCAACATGCGTTGTTAACCAAGAAGGGATTACAGTGCAAGAAAAGTGAAAGACATAATCAAGACCTGACACCAGTTCATGACTTTCTTGTTCGTTGGCATAAGCCGTTAAGAGAGGCTGGGATTCTCGAGACGATTAGAAACAATAATGAAGTACTCTTGATGATTTAGCTGGAAGTCGATCACAGTGATGCAAATGTATACTCCCTTTGTCATCTGCGAAGCTTTTAGCATTTTCATCTTCATCTATTTATTCTCAGATATCATGCATTTGTGTACATTAATATCCTATTTACTTGTTCTTTACATATTGTCGGGAATTGTGGCATCTTGAACTAATGCAGTTCTGTACCAGATTCTACTTTGTTTTGCTTGTAGTTATTTGCTTGAAACCGAGGATATTCTACGCATAGTATAAAGACAGGTTTCCTTACGGTTGTTTTTCCCACTTTTACGGAGGTAAACGGGAGGCATTTATTTGAAATAAGGTTAGTACAATTTGTGTGGCGCTGAAATGTAGGACGTGACTACCTTCGAATTAACAACTGTAGTTGGCATGCGATGAAATAAAAGCGCAGAGTTATTCCCTTCAATGCCAAAAAATAACTCATCAAATAGCTTTGAGGAAGTTTGACTGGCTATATTTCCTTGTAGATGTCAGTATCACCAGTTTTTGACTAAAATGAAACGTAATCTCCTGTGAGCATATGGTACTTCAAATAGTGATCCATAGGCTAATTCGTTGTAGTTCACTCCTCTCTACAGCTTCTCACCTGAGATGTCAACAATCAGTTCAAAGTCTACCATCGAATCACGCGTGTTACAAAATTCGTTTCCAGCACTGAGTCATCAACTATTAGAAATGCTTTGGTGAATAAAGTCACTTGCGGCTTCTAAAAATCCTCTTTTGATAAACATTGACTTACTATGAGTTGCTTTCACCTTGTTGACTGACACTTTAATTCCAGTGGTTCAAGTTTTTCCATGCAAAGGTCATAAGGTTCAATGGTTACCATGTTAGTGAGTGGAATGAGAAACTGTTTTCCTGAGATCCTGCGCATTGATGTAGGCGGTGAACTTTCAACCAGAGACAGTTTCCAACCAGTTTAGGCCTACTGTATGAGGTTTAGAGATTTAGGTAGTATTGTAACTCTCATACTAGATATGAGCTATAGACTACTTCACAAGCATACATGTAGTTTCTGAGTTGCATTGCATTATCAAATAACAACCAGAATCCGCTGTGGCTGTTGTGAGCCACTGGTGACAGGAAGTGTGATATCAATTCTGCAGTTGCTAGGGGAGTCGGTGTGGTGATCTCTAAACTTCTCAGGTATTCGGAATTCTGTGAAGAGCATTCTGAAACACAATTCAACTAGCCTAAAGTCCCAGCTATCATGACCCTAACACATTATGCACCGTGGTCAGATAACACTGATACAAGCACCAAAGCCCTGTAGGACACCGGACTAAGACAGTATACTCATGACTGTCCTCAGGGATAAAACGGAGATCCTACTCAAGGGAACTGATTACATTTTTCCAGAAGGCGCGACAGACCGAATGTTCTACCACTCTATGATGAGACCGTCATTGTCATTATCTTTGAAAAGGCCTACTTTTGTGGCACTTAATGACGTCATTACTGATTTTGATGCTTTTGACAGGACGTTGCTCTGAGGTAGTATGTTAGAGAGAGTTGTAATCGAGAAGTGTGGTGATATTTGGAAGGTCGTCTGTGGTAAAATCCTAGATACAATGAAAATACAACCATTTCTCTATTGTTGCTATTGTCGACATTCGTTAGGTGATACGGCCTACAATCATGCTGCATTGTCCAGATGGATCCATACATTCTCTTCTTAATTGTCACATTGAATTTCATTATTGTTTCATTTTTTACTGTCTTATTTTCACGTCTCTAGCACTTGACTATTTTCATTTTTCTCTCTGTACTTTATCTGAGTGCATTCTCGTTTCATGTGCTGATGATATGGCAACATAGACTATTACGCAGTTATGCTAGGTCCCACTTTGGTGGTGAATAACTGATCCACCTATTGACTCACCTGTGATGCCTTCTGTGGCCATCTTCATGCTCGTCAACCTTCCAGTTACTTTTTTCCTATTCATTAATATCCAGCGGAATGCTGCGTTGACAAGCTAAAACTGCTTGGCAGTCATGTTTAACATACGTTCTACTCAGTGTGACACTTTCTACTCTCCAATCCACCCGCTTAACATCGCAGATTGGTTAACGTCAGCACTAACACGAACAGGTTTTCAATAAGCAGGAAATTCGTATTTTGAAATTTCTTCATAACCTGATATATATCTGGCGACCTGTAAAGCTCAACTCCCTGACAGCCTTCTCATCCTCGATGTTTTATTCTGCTTTTGCTAGACTCTGCAGCAACATCCTCAGTACCATGATCTCTACCTTTATCCCTGTAACACCCACCAGCTTTAGAGTATCTTTGAAGTCCCACAAAATGCTTCGATCTCCTTTTTCGAGTACTACAAGCTGTAGTGTCTTCTTCTGGTTCAAAGGCCGTAACGTAGACTGAAGGGATGTTCAAGGCAGTAGCAGGGAAATTTCGATCGGTACTGATGATATTATAAGTGACTCTAAAAGCCACCTTAGCAACAGTTAAAATAATTAATCAAATTTCTCTGTTTTATGAAAATCTGCCTTTCCAGCCAAAATACAGAAACTTAATTGGTGGCCTTTAAAGTCACTCTGATATTATATCTCTCAATAAGGTCGCATTAGCAAATAATTTTATTCTTCGACATCCCAGTTTACAGTGTCCTAACCCTTCATATTTGTACGTGGTATTTTACCTTTTCCCTCTAGAATATTTACCAGTCAGTCTTTATCACTTTATGTTTTCTGATATTGCTTTATATACTTCTGATATGTATTCTTATGAGTACCACAGAAACATTGGCTTCTTTGGCTTAGATGTGTGTTATGAATGCTTTTTCAGTAGCTTTCATGCTGTTATTTTTGTTGATACTGGTTTTGAAAAGCGCAAACGTGGTTGTTGCATTTGGTGGTGCTGTAGATTGATGAATAGCTACCACAGCCTTTGCATAATTACCAGTGGAACTATGGTACGTTAATCTGTGCAGTTGAGTTTCTAACACTAAGTCGTGTTCGGTCCCTGCTCCACGTATGGAGCACAATGTATGTTGCTATTTGTCAAGTGTATAGACGCATTTAAGTGATTCGAGGGTCTTCAATAATTACAAACCTTCCACGGATATCTTATAAGTGATACTGAGGTTTAGTGACGCATTTGATGTGATATATTCAACAAGTAAAATCATTCTGTATGTATCAAGACAATTCACATTTATCACTTCATAAGTCCTCTTCCTAATCATTGTTTCCGAAATTAGGCTCTAATTTATTATTTTGTGTAGAACATTAACTCAATACAGAATAGGTTTTAAGAAATCTCCCACACAAGACAATGTGAAGACATAACGTTTAACGTTTTATCTCGAGGAAGAAGCAGGGAATTTAGTGCGTAATCCCCACTGGTTTCGATTCTTTAATGGTATTCATAAACCACTTAGTTACATCGTCTCTTGAATCTCATCCTGATGCACAAATAGTTGCTAGGTCGGGACTACTATAATTTATCCAAGAAATGAACCAAACTAATCATGTTGAAGTTGGTTTGCATCATCTTCTAAGTGTGGCAGCAGCCAATATTTTAGATGAAACTTATGGCAGGATGATACTCCTATGATTATAATATAGACAAAGTAAACGCTTTTCGAAGGTAAAAACAATGTTTTCATTCTAAAGGGAACACTTAGTCTGATATTCCTTCTAGAAAAGACTTGTCCATTTCTTTTGAGTAGAATATCAGCCCCATTGTTGAAAATAACTAGTGATAAAAAGCTGTCGCAAACTTTTTTTTCTTACAACACTTCAGTACTTGAAGTTCCTTGTAAACCTCTAGTCACATTAGTATTTGCTAACCACGAAGGGTCAAACTCGTAGGAGATCAACACTAGTTGAGAAGAGTAAAACGGTAGTCAACTTATAGGTTACGGCAGTTAACATTAACATTTATTGGTTTTTCTGACTTTCATCAATGCTCTTTGACAAATCGTAAGATCGTATCTGAAGCAATAGTTGAGCTACACTACTAATATGGTTCCGCTTGGTTTCTTACACAGCTTTGTAAACTAATATCTTATCAAAACTACTTTTAGACTGGGTTTTGTAAGTTTTCACTTGTTATTTCTTCATTTTTACAGTGCCATTGTTTTGTGTTGTATCCTTTCTTACTGTGACTTATCAGGTTAGTATTTTCTGCAAATGCTAAGACTAGTGACTGTGCAACTTAATGTATCATAGATAATCCTACAAAGAAGTAATTTTAGATGAATAGTTTTTTGGTTAAACTATTAGATTTGTTCACAAGTATTCATCTTGCTGACTAACAGTGTAATTCAGGAAATGTGTTTCGTTCCACTTGGTGCTCGTCGGCTGGACATGTTTAGAAGTAGTTTCTATTCTTCTGCATCTTTGTATTTGAAAATTTGACATGAATTGTATCATGTCTGCATTTATTTGCGATAGACACTTATAATAAGGTTATCGCTGTTTACTTGTACGTCCGGGGTGAATCTCTATTCAATGAAATTATTTCATTTACTGCTTTTTCTAGATGGTTCCATCACAACTTAACAGGTTTAGAAGCTGAAAAATTACTAACTTTAAAAGGTGTTAGTGGCAGTTTTCTTGCTCGTCCTAGTCATAGTACTCCAGGAAGCTTTACACTTTCTGTTCGTCGAGGTGATGAAGTAACACATATTCGTATACAAAACACAGAAGAATTCTTGGATTTATATGGTGGAGAAAAATTTGCTACACTATCAGAACTAGTTGCATACTATATGGAAAATGAAGGTCAACTTAGGGAAAAAAATGGTGATCTAATTGAATTGAAATATCCACTTATTTCAGAGGATCCAACAACTGAACGGTAAGTATCAAAATATTTTTTTGTGTCAATGAATAACTTTGTTTATAAGTTGTTGTTTTTTTTTAAAAAAATAATCGTAAAGACTTTTTATACTACAGTTCTTCTTCTGTTGTTCTACTTATTAACTTTTAGTTATCCGTTCCCATTAGAATAGATCACTTTTAAAATTAGTTCGATCTCTTTCGTCTGAGTAAACTTTGATTGTATACATTCAACAATCTTGATTCTTTACACAGAATACTGAGTGATAATCTGACTAGCAGTTCAAGTTTTCAAGAACCTAAGAAAAGATAAAGAGAATATTTTTTTTTCCACAAGTCATTTTCAGAAACTTTAGCATTTGTATTAATGGTTACAACAAGAATATATAATTCAAGTTGTTATTCATCGAAGACTGACATCAGTTGGAGGAACAAAGGAAACCTGGGAGCATTGGACAGCTGTTTCGTCCTAGTATGGGTTCGATCCCTGCTGGTGGGGTGGTGGGTGCGCACTGGTGAGGAGTCCCATACTAGTCGGACGAAACAGCTGTCCAGTGCTCCCAGGTTTCCTTTGTTCCTCCAACTGATGTCAGTCTTCGATGAATAACAACTTGAAATATTTCCAAATCTCCACAACCTCCTCAAAATTTAATTGAACTAGTGCTCGTTGGTGACTAGCTTCGAGAAGTATTCCCGAAGTTCCAATGACAAGTCGTGACCGGTGGAGTCAAAGCCTGATGGCCGTGAGGACAAATACTCAACGATGACATTGGGTGGCGGTTTGCGCTATATCGTGAGCTAACAGAAGTTGGAAATATGGAGCATTGGATTGTGACCCAGTGGCTCAATGGTAACGCGCTGGCTGCGGAACCTGAAGGTCGCGGGTTCGATCCCTGCTGGTGGGGTGGTGGGTGCGCACTGGTGAGGAGTCCCATACTAGTCGGACGAAACAGCTGTCCAGTGCTCCCAGGTTTCCTTTGTTCCTCCAACTGATGTCAGTCTTCGATGAATAACAACTTGAAATATTTCCAAATCTCCACAACCTCCTCAAAATTTAAAAGAATATATAATGTTCAACAGTGACTATTGGTTTATATCAACACATGGTAATCAGAAATTGTTACTTACAGTTATAGGATGACCTTGTGTTGAATTGCTTTACAATCGCTTTATTCCAAAAACAACAGGTAATGTTTTAATAATTTTTCCATGTGAATAGTCCCAATCATAATGGAATTAAAAGCAATAATTTGAAATGAATAGTAAGGGTGTAACCTAAGTGTTTAGTCCAGATTGTGAATGAATGCAAAACTATACTGGTGATAATTTGATTAGCTAGTACAAAAATTGTATTTTTACGTATTTACATGTTTATTTCCATACAGCATAACCTTCTTCTTTCATTTCGTTCTTAGCTTGAGAAGCGAGAGTTTCAAAATAATGTGAAAGGAGTACTTGATGTATTTAAAAGACATATCTGAAAGTGAAAAGGGAAAAATTTGATAAAATACCGTTGATGAAAAATGTTTCAATAACCTATGCTTTAAGCAGGACATATTGTTGTAACTGTAAATACGAATGTATATCTTCTAAAAATGTTTCGTAGAGAAGAAAAAATTTTTTTGTAGATGGTTTCAAACTGTCATCAGTCAACTGTAGCACTAAATCTACCTACTTTTTCCGTCTAGAATTGTGGTTTATTAGTGTATTCAGTAATTCGCTGGGGTTTGAAACACATTCCACTGAGATTTGAAGAATCGAAAAGTCTTATCACTTTTCTATGTATAAAAAATGTAACTTATGGAGTAGTGCACGAACATGTACGTGTTAATTTGCTAGCTTAAAAATTCAGTAAACAACCATTAGAACATCTTTTTGTATATATATATATATATCTTCAGTGAGCTTGACCAATCATCATATTTCCTTGTCTATGTCGCGATCTAAGCTGCATAAAGCTTTATTAACTTCACTAGGGTTTGGAGATTTGAGGAGATTTTATTTCGCTGATTGGTCTCCTGTGGTCTTGGCTACTTCTCTTGAATTGTATCAGTATTCATTTTAGCACTTCTATAGTACTCTGTTTATTCTATTAATACAAACTATCAGAATTTATTTATCATATTGCGTTGCACATATGATCAGGCTCAATACCTGTTTATTCTACTTACTACCAAGTCTTACTGATGTCCATTATTGAGCGCTTGAAATCATGAGAAATCATAGCATTGCTGTGGATAATTAGCATTTCTCATATGTTGGATACAATGAACCTTTAGAAATTAATTAGAGTACTAATCAAGAACAGAATTGTAGTTATTCTCATTCACATACAGACCTCTAAATCCATATCTGCACATAAGGGTGCCATAAGGGAGTTTATAGACTCACTATTTATTCTGTGGATCATTGATTTAGGGAGATAACTTTAAACCAATAGGTTACGGGTTCGAATCCTACTGCGCCTATTGAGGCTTAGACAGCCAGGTAGTATCAATAGCCTCTATATAATATATTTGACTTACTGCCTACTGCATGAATGTGCACAAGGTTGCTTAGTGCATTTCGATTGCTAGGTTTTATCTACCAATTACTGTTGACTATTGGTAACGCGCTGGCCGCGGAACCTGAAGGTCGCGGGTTCGATCCCTGCTGGTGGGGTCGTGGGTGCGCACTGGTGAGGAGTCCCATACTAGTCGGACGAAACAGCTGTCCAGTGCTCCCAGGTTTCCTTTGTTCCTCCAACTGATGTCAGTCTACGATGAGTAACAACTTGAAATATTGGTGTAACTGTAGGTTTCCTTCACAACTCTGGTGAGCAGTCAAACTTTATGAATTACTACCAAACACTTTGAAAAGTAATTTAACCTCAGTCAGTGAAGATCGTACAATTTTGGAATTAATTAGAAATCTACTTGTTCGATCTACTTTTCTCAATTTCCGTGTTTGAGTAATGTGTAATCACTGGAAATGATGCACTTTTATGTAAGATTTTACCTTTCGTTAATTGATAAGGATCACAGAAATGCCGTTTTTTCGAAAAGTAAATTTTTGTTGGAAACCAGCAAATGTCGAATATGTGACAAAAACAATTAAACGACTAGCTGAGAAGATCAGCGTAGAACCTAGCACACAGGTGTATCGGCTAAAGTTAACACTTAACACAAACACTAATACACAAAAACCAGGTGGATAGAAAAAGACTGTTACCAAAGTAAATAAAGGACATCAAGGAGACAATCTACATCTGCCGAGAAGACAGAGACCAACTGTAAGCGAGTTAATCAACTGATGTCATGTTTTGTTCTGACCACTGTGAACTGACTTCGAAGATGATCGAACTTCTCTTAGTTATGGAACATGGAGGTAGTCGATGAGTTGATGTATGCAACACATGTGCAAGGTATTTCAGTGTAGTGAAGTTCACAACCTTGTTAATCGGCTATGGTGTGTTGCTTAGTACGTGACGTGACGTGAATATTTATCATAGAGTGATTCGACCACATGTGAGCAATGTTGTGAAGATATTTGTGATTGAAACCGTGTGATGGCTTCATGTCTTCGACTTTTAATGTGGTATGTCTCACAGTTATACAGGAGGACGAAACGGAGTGCAGTGCAGTCTACGCATCGTTTACTGTAGAAACGTTGAATATGAGTTGAAAGGAGCCAATGAGTTTCATCAATTTGGAGTATGTTAATTGATTTATGGAGGTGACTAGGTTGAAGGGTCGTATTGTGAAGAGTTGAATGTGAAGCATAGCGTTTAATATAAGTTAGAAGTTAGTAGATGGATTTACGCTGGGGAAGTGTTGGATAGTGGGGGATAGGTTTGAATTGATGTCTCTCCAACCGTTCTGTATGAGAAAGCGAGAGTTTTAGGAACATATATATATATATATATCCATAGAATAGTGACATTAAAAGCAACTTCTATACCGTAGTTTTTTCCTATAGTTAATCGCATTACTCTCAATATTTAAAGCTCTTTGAATATATATTTTTTTGTAGTTGGTTTCATGGAAAAATTACAGGAAAAGAAGCTGAAAAAATGCTTCTTGAACGGGGTAAACCGGATTGTTTTTTAGTTCGTGAATCTGTTCACAGACCAGGTTCTTATGTCCTATCAGTTTTAACAGGAGAACAGGTGGCACATATCATGATACATGGAAAGCCAAACGGAATGTATGATGTTGGTGGAGGGCATCAATTTTCATCTTTAAAAGAATTAATCGACTTTTATACAAATACACCTATGGTAGAAAAAAATGGTGGATTAGTTTCATTGAAACAAGTAAGTAGTAATTTTAAAGTTAATATATGTACTGCATAGAAATTACAACTATAAATACTGTCAAATATGATGTAAACTTTTCGACATGTTTTTGTTGCGTTCCATTTCAATTATATGATTTCCATTCTAAATCATTGCTAATAGCATCAAGGTGAACAAGTATCAGCATTGGATTTAACATCATTACGTAACGATTCAACATGTCATACTGCACATGAACTTATCGGAGTAGAACATAAGGAGAGTGAAAATGAAATGATAATATTAACAGTTATAGAAAGCCATTAAAGAAGAAAAATACGGGGTCGAAACATACAATGAAGTGTGACATAGTGATTAACGTAAAGATTAGATAACAAAACATCTGCGTTCATCATTTTGGTAATTGTACTTCCCAATGAGAATGTAAAAGCCTGATGGCCGTGAGGACAAATGCTCAACGATGACATTGGGTGGCGGTTTGCGCTATATCGTGAGCTAACAGAAGTTGGAAATATGGAGCATTGGATTCTGACTCAGTGGCTCAATGGTAAGGCGCTGGCCGCGGAACCTGAAGGTCGCTGGTTCGATCCCTGCTGGTGGGGTGGTGGGTGCGCACTGGTGAGGAGTCCCATACTAGTCGGACGAAACAGCTGTCCAGTGCTCCCAGGTTTCCTTTGTTCCTCCAACTGATGTCAGTCTTCGATGAATAACAACTTGAAATAATTCCAAATCTCCACAACCCCCTCAAAAAAAAATAAATTTATTTCAACTGGCGTCTCACTATTTACTGAGGCTAATAGCTTTATCAAAGTTATAGTAAACCGGAATTTACAATATCCCTCAATCTTATATGTGATAACTTGACTAGTGTTCTTCTCCATGAATGATTCTGTGTCGTCAGATTTTCAGAATAAAGATGATATCCATATGTATTGTGTTGTGTGTGTGAATTACAGATTGAGATCATATGTATATGGTTATGTCAGTGTGTGGGAGTGGGTTGAGATCAGGTTAAACTATGTCTCACTCTCTCATTCCCATTTAGACGATTATGATTCCGAGGTAGTATTCAGCATTGACTGCCATCGGCTGGGGAACCATTGAAAATCTGGGAGCACTGGACAGGTGTTTCATCCTAGTATGGGACTCCTCAGTAGTAGGCACCCACGACCCGGCTAGGGTTCGAACTCAGGACCTTCAGGTCCCACGGCGAACGCGTTAACCGTGACCTGTAGGGTTAACCAGTTGGAAGTGAAGAAGATGCTAACTGAAGACCTTGGGTGATAGTCACGCTATGTGGGGAATTGATAGAAGTTGGAAATTGCGAACCACTGGAAACCGACCCAGTGGCTGAATGGTTAGCGCGTTCGCTCCCTAACCGGGTCGTGGGTGCGTACTACTGAAGAGTCCCGTACTAGTACGAAACAGCTGTCCAGTGCTCCCAGATTCTCAATGGTTCCCCAGCTGATGTCAGTCCATGATGAATGCTACTTCTAAATTAAAAATCCCCATTCATCTCAAAAATAAATTATGATTCCATTTGATGTGAAGAGGTTCTGCATAATTTCCATAGTGTCAAAACCAACCTTGTGACCTGACTGAACGGATGGTGCTATTGCCTCACTTAATGAAGGTTCACTTTCCACTAAAACTGTATTCCCACATACAAGCTACACTGCACATATAATGATAATCAAATACCTGAATTATCTTTAGATGGTATCCTTCTAATGATCATGCTTCACACCGGTAAGATAGGAAGAAACAAACTGTTGCACATTACACTCGATATCTCGTTGGTACCAATCAAAACTTTGTGTTTGTGGCGAAATCTTGTCGCTGACTGAGCCCACTCGGATTGACCAACAGTTAATTCTATATTGTTAGACACAGTATAAATCCAAACCAGCCCTGAAGTAAAAGTTTTCATTTACAAGGTGATAAACATATTCCACACTTTGTAGACTTTCTGAGGAAAGTTTTCTGAGAACTTATTGTCGTCACCTAACAAAACTATGTCGTCCGCATACTTTAAGTGAACTAAGGAATCTTTGAGAAAATTAGTCTTTATAAATGGGCATAGCTTATGATTTCAAGCAGTCGACTTTTAAACAGTAGGTCGTGGGCAGCTGGGTAGTATCAGAAGCCTTCACACAGTAAGTATGGCTCAGAGCTTCGTGAATAAACACCTGTACCAGATTGAGTTACTGTTATTTTTTATGAAGATAAACAAGGTTTGAGAGACTTCTATGAGCAGGTGCGTGGCAAGTTTAAATCGAAATGAAGAATGGATGTCTTTGTTCGGTACTACTCAAAGCTAACATTTTATCAAACAAATCACTTTAAACTTAACAATTACAGTAGGCGTCTGAGTATTGACCCTTCATCAAAACTATGCGCTTTCATGATATCCCTTTGAATACAGGACACTGTCACGTGACTTCGTGGTCGATAGAATCGAGTACCACCTCCCAATATAAGAAATACAGTGTCGAAGGATTTTGTTGGGCTCCTATACTTCAGGTATTCTTACTGATAATCCCAAGCATCTCTGGTTACCTATGAGGGTCCACTGTCTATCTTCCTTTTAGGCACCCTAACGATTTTCTTGAACTTTACTGAGAAATTTGGGCGCACCGTTAAAGTCTTATTTAAGTGTCGATTGAATAGTGAATGGTTGAAGTTAAGCTGCAGGCTAATTGAACTGTTCCTCGAAGTCTTCACATGATTTTAGTTGTCTTTCCTGTACATGGATCACTTAATCGTCTTACGGGGTTATAATTTCGCTACCTGCTGACTTTCATGTTTACTTGTTTGATTAGTATCAACAACTTTGTTGAGATTGAGTTGTTTCCTAAGCTGGGGTTTAGTTGCTTAACATATCAGTGTCTTGCTGGACATCGTCGTCAATACCTCGTAAGGAATTGGGTCACTTGCGAAGAACTGATGATGCTGTCTAGCATGATTTTAAGTGTTTGAAAAAGGGACTCAGTCTGAACATCTACATTCTGAGCTATAAAATATTCTCTACCATTCCCCCCAAAAAAATGTTTGTTATTATGCATCATCACTGCTTTCTCTATCTCCTTGGTATTCGCCGTGGACTATTACTCATGGTTACTACATAAATTCTGTCAGTCTGCATTTAAGGACGGTATGACTAGTTTAATGTTTCAAAACGTTTTGTTTTTTGACTTAGCTACTTTTCCCTTGATGTACTTACAAGTTTTAGTCAACTTTGAATTCAACTTGGTATCCTTAACATATTCTTTCTTTCTTTCTTTCTATCTCAGCCTTTTAACGCTACTCGATTTAATGTTTCTACTATCGATCAACGTATGCATCAGTTGGAACAAGAGAATGGTCATGGTTCAGGATTAGCTGGATTTTTGGAGGAATTCGAGGAGTTACATCAAGAGGCTCATGTAATTTGACGTGTAATTTTAATTGATTTTTTTTAAAGCTATTGTTCACTCTGGTTATTCTAATGTAATGTTGTAGTATAGTGTTATTAGGATGTGATTTATGCCTTCATGGTTAATCGCTCCCTCAAAAATTGAAAAGGCTATGAAACGACTGATGGTGTATTGCAAGGTTAAGTATATATGAAATCTCAACGGTATGCATATATGTATGTTCCCTATTGGATTTATTTCTTCAGTCAGTCAGATACTTACACGTATTATATTAAATTGTCTACTCTTAAAAATTCGGCATACGCCGATTGACTGTTAATTATGCCAAAGATTTCGAGCTTCATTGAAGGTTCTGGACAATTACATTGGACAGCATAAAACCTCGATTCACGTTTTGATATACACAAGTTGTTCGTTTTGTGATGAGTTCATTTTACGGAAGGTTAGTATGAGTTTCTTCTACAGTTATGGAGGTGTGTCTCACGACTTCAAAATGCATTGAAAGCGCTTTCTGCACTGACTGATACTGAAGGAGAAAAAAAATCGACGTAGAACCTCGCACACGGATGTATCGGCTGAAGTTGACACTTAACACGTACACTAGTACACAAAAAACAGGTGGATAGAAAAAGACTGTTACCAAAGTAGATAAAGGACATCAAGGAGACAATCTACATCTGCCGAGAAGACAGAGACCAACTGTAAGCGAGTTAATCAACTGATGTCATGTTTTGTTCTGACCACTGTGAACTGACTTCGAAGATGATCGAACTTCTTTTAGTTATGGAACATGGAGGTAGTCGATGAATTGATGTATGCAACACATGTGCAAGGTATTTCAGTGTAGTGAAGTTCACAACCTTGTTAATCGGTTATGGTGTGTTGCTTAGTACGTGACGTGACGTGAATATTTATCATAGAGTGATTCGACCACATGTGAGCAATGTTGTGAAGATATTTGTGATTGAAACCGTGTGATGGCTTCATGTCTTCGACTTTTAATGTGGTATGTCTCACAGTTATACAGGAGGACGAAACGGAGTGCAGTGCAGTCTACGCATCGTTTACTGTAGAAACGTTGAATATGAGTTGAAAGGAGCCAATGAGTTTGATCAATTTGGAGTATGTTAATTGATTTATGGAGGTGACTAGGTTGAAGGGTCGTATTGTGAAGAGTTGAATGTGAAGCATAGCGTTTAATATAAGTTAGAAGTTAGTAGATGGATTTACGCTGGGGGAAGTGTTGGATAGTGGGGGATAGGTTTGAATTGATGTCTCTCCAACCGTTCTGTATGAGAAAGCGAGAGTTTTAGGAATATATATATATATGTATCCGTAGAATAGTGATATTAAAAGCAACTTCTATACTGTAGTGATTTATCATACGATGATTCTACGAAAAGCGAGCGAGGGTTAATGATACCACCTGGGTGCCCATATCTTGCTTGGGAAAGTGGTCTTTTAGCTCGTAAGGCATTTACCATTTCACACTAATAAGATGAGTGAGTAATGTGTGCATATGCACTTGTTTGTATTAAAAGTCTGCAAAACTTTGCCACTGAATATGATAGCAGATGATCAACTTTTGTTTGGAGGTGTGGCTCATTAATTTCAACCACTAGGACACAGATTGAAGCGTCGTTCTACATCCTGAGATTTGGGCAACATGATAGTATCATTAGCCCTCAAACACAGTAGGTGTGATTCACTGTCTACTGCTTAACTGTATAAAAAATTACTGTATGCATTTCGAATTGAATTCAATCAACTTTCAACTATTAGTCCTTTGCTATACACTTCGTAGTATTAAACAAGGAACAGGATTGAAAAAGAGTGATACCAAAGTAGAGAAAGTTGTATAAGGGAATAAACAATCTGAAAGTAAAGAGCAGTGCAAATATTCAAGGTTTAGAAGATGTCAAGGAGTTGAAATAAGTCTAGCATTTTGACTATTCTCAGGTATATCACCAAGAGTTCTTAACCACTGATTCTTATCGTCTCGGAGATCTCAATCAGGTATTTTACACCTTCCGATAAGACTGAGACTAAAAGTCAGTGATTTCATGCTTTGGTGTCACTTCTTCGTTTAGCCACACTGACACGTCTTCCAACCTAGTTGAAACATCACTGTTGAATAATAGAAATATGAAGTTAATGATTTTGAAGTGAGACGGAGTTATTTATAGACAAGAGATTTCAGTCAGTATGATTTTATTCTCTTGATGTTAGCATACTTCATCGTAGCGATGTAGATAGTCGACTTTTAAACAATGGTTCTCGGATTCAAACCCCGTCTCAGTACTTGATGTCTGGGAAGTCATATATATTGTTTCTGGTTGTCAGATAATAGGTGTCGCTCATTTACTAGTTGACTAGCTCTATGCGTAGTCATTAATTTACGTTTATTACTATTATTATTTATTATTATCAGTCCCTTGGGTTCCTAGTGGAACATAGGGCTTCAGTAGCACGTCTCCATTTCCTCCTGTTCTCTGAGATCTTTTGAACCTGGTTCCACGACAGCCCAGAAGCTCTCATTTCCTCCTCGCACGATCTCCTCCATGTCACCCTCACCTCGGACGTCCAACTCGTCGCTTCCCATGGGGATTCCACTCGACCAACTGGCCTGAAGCATGATGTCCCCAGTCGGCCTCCTCAGTGCATGCCCAATCCATCTCCACTTCCTCCTGCATATTTGTTGCGTGATAGGTTCTTGCTTTGTTGGTTCGTTCCCAGAGCTTCTTGTTGCTTATTCCTATTATTCTGGCCATCTGATCTTCAGTAGCGAGTCAGCGTAGGTGGCAGTTGTTGATGAATGTCTGTAGTTTATTGGAAATGCCTTTCGTGACGCGCCAAGTCTCTGAGCCATACAGAAGCAGTGACTTGACGTTGGTGTTGAAAATCCGGATGTTGTTCTACATGCTGAGTGCAGTGCAGAAGATCTCCACACTGGTTTCAGGCTAATGAACGCCTGTCTTGCTGTGTTTCCTATTCTGACTTTGACATCCTCGTCTGTGCCAGTGCCGCCTGTAGTTGGAACAGTGCTGCCTGCCTAGATACGTGAAGGAGGTTACTTCCTTTAAGTTTCTCCCGTTGATGGTGACTGGAGTTTGTTGTTGTTGTTGGAGTTGTTGGTTGGGTATCTTCACCACCTCTGTCTTCTCTATATTCACTTGAAGTCCCGTCTTCGCTGCACTGCACTGCCCTGCCTCTTCTGTCAACTTGTTAGTTTCGCCTGTACATCTTCAAGTTTATGTGACATCAGGCACAAGTCATCACTGGCGAAATCCAAGTCTTCTAGGTTCTTTTCCGCAGTCCAGCCAGCGTATCCCCCTCTTCTCACAGAGCCCCACTGTTTACTGCATGATCCAGTCCACCACAATCAGGAAGATCATTGGTCATAGTATGCAGCCTTGTCTTACTCTTTTCTTCACTTGAAAAGCGCTGCTGACCTTTTCATTGTGAATCACTTGGCATGTGGCATCTTCATATAGTTGTTGAATGAGGCGGATAAAGGTTTGCGGTACTCCGTAGTAATGAAGCAGTTTCCAAATTACTCCTCGGTCGACGCTGTCAAATACCTTCTCAAAGTCGATGAAGTTGAGGTAGAGAGCTGATAGCCATTCTATGCTCTGTTCAATGATGATGCGAAGCGTTGCAATTTGGTCTGTACATGATTTGTACTTCCTGAATCCAGCCAGCCAGCCTCTTCCTGTCGCAGTTTTGAATGCAGTGCATGCTTGAGCCTCTCCAGGATGATGCAGCCTAATATTTTGCTTGCTTTGGGTGGACAGGAGAGTGATTCCGCGCCAGTTCTTGCAAACACTGAGGTCTCCCTTCTTCGGCAGTTTGACAAGGTAACCCTTCTTCCAATCAGTGGGCAGGTACCTTCTCTTCCTTCCACACCTTCTGCAATAGATGCTCACACCACTATTGCAGAAGGTGTGGAAGGAAGAGAAGGTACCTGCCCACTGATTGGAAGAAGGGTTACCTTGTCAAACTCCCGAAGAAGGAAGACCTCATCATCATCATTATCAACATAGGACCAGGCATTACTGCGTAACGGTCCGAGTTGCCACACCTCATATCAGCACATCAAGTAAAAAGGTAGTGAGGTGAAGGATGAAGATAAGTGAATGCAGTCAAAAGAAATATAAAGTATGAGAAGAAGGGAAAGAGGAGTGACAAAATAGTGAGATTCGGTATAGCGTTGTTAAGATGAGGATAATGTGTGTTTATTGACTGTATTGACTGTTTTTCTGCCTACTTGTTAAGCTTCTTACCTAATTTTACTGCATAACAAAACTATGGAGCTTATAAGTAATCAACAATTACCCATAAGATTTTATTTCTTGTAGATGTTATCTAGTCACTGTATGTAAACGTCTCTGTTCATCGGACCAGATCTAGAGTTAAGCAGTCGCTCTTAATTTTCAACTATTGTAACAAAGTCCTGAGATTATGAAGGTCTGAATGGTTCTTCCCAGGCTAATTGTGTCCTACAGGAAACTGTGTTTACTTTTTCTCGTTTAAAATCGGCAATCTTTAAATAATTTAATAATTCCCATTGTAACATCACGAACAAGATATTCAGCGAAGAGACTCTTTTCAACGAATTTATTTTCAAGCTGTACAATCGTATATATATGATATTTGGACGACACGTTTGTTATTTGCGACAAAAATGTAGACCTCGACGATGTGCTTCGTTCATTCAATGAATGTCATCAAGCTCTCAAGTTTACTATAGAGAAAGAATCAGAATCAACTATTCCTTTTCTTGATGTGCTTCTCACCCGACGTCAGAATGGATACCTTAAAAGATCCATCTACAGAAAACCAACGTGGAACGGACAAATAACTAATTTTTATAGTTGGGTGCCCATCAACAGAAAAAGAAATCTTATTCACTCTGTTTGCTATCGAATAAGAAATATCTGTATCGATGAAGTGCTATCTTTCTTAAAAAGCATACTTGTCGAAAACGGTTACCCTAGCCGTTTTATTGATAAAAATATGCAGGAAAGAAACACTAAACCAGTCATCCACTCGGTCTCAAAGAAAAGATTGTTTATGAGCCTGGAGTTTAAAGGAGACCTAGCATCGGATGTACTGAAGAATCGTCTTACCAGATCAATCAATAGAACTTTCTTCGTAGCAAGACTTTTACCAGCCGCAACCTATTCTCCACCTGCGTTAAAGATAAACTTCCTCGTTTGGCCGCCTCTATGTGCATCTACCAGTTCACCTGCTCTTGTGGAGCAAGGTACATCGGCCGTAGCCAGAGAATGCTTTCTACACGTATAAGAGAACATGTTCCTGCTTGGTTTGATAAAGGTGAAAGAAAGTCTGTTAGAAGTTCGATTCTAGAACATTTGATTAACTTCCATCACACAACAAATCCAGACGATGACTTTGAAATTATTTATCAAATTCGCCCAAACCTCCCACGTTCTCTTTGTTTTCAACTCCTTAAAACAGCGGAGGCTTTAGCTATTCATGAACTAAGACCTGATCTGTGTGTACAAAAGAAGTATGTGCAGTCAATGTCTTTATCATAACCATAACATTTTCCCACCCCATTAGCTCCCCCTCCCACTTTGTTAATTTAACTTTTGTATCCTTCCTTTATCACTATTATTGTTATTATAATTGCCTTCACTTCAACTAGTTTCCGGTGTTGTTTCACTTAAATTGTCTTAATCCTTTTAGAAAACATTGACTTCATCTTGTCCAATTTGTCTAATACCATTACATAATACTTAATTGATTTACCATTTTCAACAGTTTTTTCACCCCCTTCTGTGTTATATACTCTCTATGTACCATTCCATATATTACATAATCTATTTGTTATCATTCGCACTTCAATTGTGTTATTATAATCATATATATATATATATATATATATATATATATATATATATATATATACATATATATATATATATACATATACATACATATATATATATATATATATATATATATATATATATATATCTTAGTTGACGTTTTCTCCATTATAATTTCCTTTTAGTTGAAAAATAATCCACGTGTTGAAGGATATCAGTCTTATAATCGTGACAAAAATCGATACAAACATATTCTACCGTTTGATTGGTCTCAAGTTAAACTCCTTGATGGGGATCCGAACGAACCTGGTTCTGACTATATAAACGCCAATTATATTTCATGGCCTGTAAGTTGCAATATCTTAGTGTGTATAAATCTTTATTTTATTTGCATTACATTACACCGGACAGTGTCAACTGAGAAGTAATTTGACAACTGCTTCAACACTACCGAGTACCACAAACCTTTATCAACCTCATTCAACAGCTGTAGGTAGACGTCATATACCAAGTGATTCATAATGGAAAGGTCAGCGGCGCTTTTGAAGTGAAGAAAAGAGTAAGACAAGGCTGCATACTATGACCAATGATCTTCCTGATTGTGGTGGACTGGATCATGCAGCAAACCGTGACGAGCGAGAAGATGGCCATGTTCTGTTTGACCGATGAAAAGATCCTAGGAAATTTGGATTTTGCCGATGATAATTTATGTCTTATGTTGAACAAACTCGAAGATCTAAAGCCAAAAACTAATAAGTTAATAGAAGAGGAGGGGCAGCGAGGATGGGACTTGAAGTGAATATAGAGAAGACAGAGGTGATGAAGATACCCAACCAATCAGCATCAACAGGAGTAACCTGAAGGAAGTAGTGTCTTTCACCTACCTGCCTAGGCAGCATCTTCTCAACTACAGGTGGTACAGGCACAGATGAGGACGTCAAAGCCAGGATCGGAAAAGCAAGACAGGCCTTCATTAACCTGAAATCAGTGTGGAGGTCTACTGCATTCAGCATAAAGCATGAACAAGATCCAGATCTTCAACACCAGTCTCAAGTCAGTGCTTCTATGTGATGGTTGAGAGACTTGGCGCGTTACGAAAGGCATTTCCAACAAACTACAGACATTCATGAACAACTGCCTCCTACGCCCACTCGATACTGAAGATCAGATGGCGAGAAGGAATAAGCAGCAAGGAACTCTGGCTAGCTGGCAACGAACCAACCGAGAACCTGTCGCTCAACAAATATGCAGAAGGAAGTAGGAATGGATTGGATTTGACATACACTGAGAAGACGGTATGGGGACATCACGCAGCAGGCCAGGCGAGGCCGTCGAGTTCAACCCAAAGAAGAAATGACTAGTTGGGCGTTCGAGGTGAGGGTGACATGGAAGAGATGGTGTGAGGAAGAAATAATAGCTTCTTGGCAACGTTGGAGTCAGGTTAAGAAGACTGCAGGGAATAGAGTGAAATGGCGACGTACCGTAGCGGTTGTTTATTTACAAAATGCTGAGTTTTATTTAGGCGACTTCCTATCACTACATGCTGTATGGAAAAAAAGATTACCTGGTTACTTTTATTTTTGCTTTTCACAGGCCGAAATTGCTAAAAGTTAATTCTTTGCATTTCATTTCAACCTTCGGTTTTGCGATAAAATTGAGTATGTCCTTTCTTTGATCGTATTTTACATGTTTCATATACTAAATCCCTGATTGTATCCCATCATTCCTTTAACTCTTATAAAGTAGAATTCAAAAATATGCAATGAACTTCACTACAACGCATCCCTGACGTGATAGCTACTACCATGACATGATAGTCCAGCATGTATATCACAATGATCCAACGACTTGTGTTACCCTCATAGTGTTAATTCCTACTCTGTGATGGGTCCGAGGGCGAAGTCTTACTACTGACTGGATGTGGGAGTAACGGCGGCAACGTGTTCCCTCCAGATGACTAGAAGTACCATGTTAATTGTTAGTGAACCATCATCAAAAACGATGGTAACTTCATAATCACTCGATACAGACGGCTAGAATGTTGGGTAGAACACTTGAAGCACTTTCAATTGGTCCTCAGCAACGCTTTAGTTGCCTAATACCCAACCAGCCTGAATTTGAATGGGACATAGGTGTCGGTTCTCTAACTCTCCTCGAAGTTGACAAAGCTGAGTCGAATCTGAAACGATGCAAAGCAGCAAAACCTGGCAACTTGCCACCTGAAGTTTTCAAGAATGGAGGTCGGAAATTACTGATTAGATTGATGGAGGTATTGTGTAGTGTATTGAAAGCAGAGGTAGTGTCGTCAGACTGGTGTGCTCCACTAATCATCCAAGCATAAGAGAAGGGGGTCTTTTTGTGAAAACCATGGGGAAATTCTATTATGTCCAAGATCCTAAGATGCATAGTTATCCAACACCTAACTGGGCTGGAGAACAGCGAACACTCGAGAAAACCAGACAGGTTTCAAAAGAGCTGAACGAGGATGCATCGATCACATTCCCCTCCCCCAATAAGTTCTGAAACACAGAGAAATGCCTACAGGCCAGTGGTTGACACTCGCCGTATTTCTTGACGTGAAGGCGACATTTGACTCTGTCGACCATGAGGTGTTGTGACAGTGTCTGACTATGAAAGGAGTACCAAGCAAGTATATAACGCTAATCAAAGCCCTCTGCTCGAACTCACACACCCGTTTAAGGGTTTGTAGAGAGTTGTCATGTGAATTGACGACAATTGTGGTGTTCGCCAGGAATGTACCCTGTCACTGTTCCTATTTTACTTTGTCATAGACCTACTAATTAACATAACCTTAGGTACATCTGAATTCACAGGGATTGACTCCTTGGAAGTCATCTGACTGACTTGGAGTATGCAGACAATATTGTTCATCTGGATGAAAAGGGGTGACGGATTCCAGTGTCTTTCTGCTGAACAGAAATCTGAGTGTTTGGCATGCGTCTCGCACCTGTGAAATGTAAGATGATTCTCCAGGACCGGTTCACTGCAAGTACTCCTAGTTTAATAATGGAGAGTTAAGTCGTAGAATGTATCGACCACTTCACTTACTTGGGAAGTCGCATCAGCCCTACCTTGCTGGTTGCTGACGAAATTTCAGCTCGTTTGTCATTTACCATCTGTCGGCATCTGTAGCGGTAACTTCAGAGTGATTCGGCTACCTGTTAAAGGACGAGCATACTGCGCTGTAATCCGTTCTATTTTGTTTTACGTCTGAGATATGGCCCTCAAAAACAGAAGACATGAAGTGGTTACATAGTTTTGATCATAGGTATCTTTGTAGCATTGCTCACGTTCAATGAAATCATCGTGCGATCAGACAAGTCGATTGATGAGGTTATGAAGCTTCATCGACTGAGATGGCTTGCGTATATATTACGCATGCTGAGACACCGCCTACCTCACACACTAGGTGACCAAATCAAGACATGGCACCAGACGACAAAATCCTTTACTGTTAGTCTGGGTCGTGTGGGTAGATGTAGACTGTTTAACTGGGGTTCATAGGACGAAAGGAATCAAGGGTTGAAGACTGACTTATATTGATATTGCTGGAAATCGGTTATAATGACGCAGATTTCTTCACTCCTTAACATCTTCTAAAGCTTGAATAATTGCACCAACCTTTATCTTAAAGTTGTTTATTCCCTCACAAACAACTTTATCTACTTTGCTATCAGTCTTTTTCCATTCACCTATCTCTGTATACCTACTATGAAGTGTGTGATAATTTGAACCGATGCACTTGTATGCGAGGTTATGCGTTGATTCTGTCTGACTGTCTGAGATAATAGATGTATGACTTCTTATTTAAACCATATTTATGGTATCAGTTTTAATCATTTTAACCCGTGAGCTATTATGTTGTCTCATGAACACATCTCGACGGGTACATGGAAGCTGATAGAGGAAAGGAGGATGGTGAAGCAGAAGATAAACCAGTGCAAGGATGCTCAACGACAGGAAGAACTGAGCACAATGTATAAAACACTGGACAAAGAAGTAAAGAAGAGTGCACGCAAAGACAAAAGACACTTCTACGAAACACTGGCAAGTGAAGCAGAACAGGCTGCAGGTAAGAGAGACCTGACGACATTGTATCAAATAACCAGGTTGCTATCAGGGAAGAGATCAACACAGATGAAACCAATAAAAGATGAAGAAGGAAATTTAATTACGAAAGAAGAGAAACAGAGGAAACAATGGGCCGACCACTTCAAGAAGCTCTTGAATCGACCACCACCACCACCTGCACTTCGTCCAGAAATACCACCTGCAGCCAGCGCTGAACTACAAATGAACATAAATCCTCCAACGAAAATGGAAGTCCTGAACGCCATAAAGCTACTGAAATGTGGGAAAGCAGCAGGACCAGACGGGATACCGCCAGAAGCACTGAGAGCAGATGCAGAGACAACAGCAGACATGCTCACGCCACACCACTATTGCAGAAGGTGTGGAAGGAAGAGAAGGTACCTGGCCATTGATTGGAAGAAGGGTTACCTTGTCAAACTGCCGAAGAAGGGAGACCTCAGTGTTTGCAAGAACTGGCGCGGAATCATTCTCTTGTCCACCCGAAGTAAAATATTAGGCTGCATCATCCTGGAGAGGCTACAGGATGCACTGGACTCAAAACTACGACAGGAAGAGGCTGTCTGGCTGGATTCAGGAAGTACAATCATGTACAGACCAAATTGCAACGCTTCGCATCATCATAGAACAGAGCATAGAATGGCAATCAGCTCTCTACCTCAACTTCATCGACTTTGAAAAGGCCTTTGACAGCGTCGACCGAGAAGTAATTTGGAAGCTGCTTCAATACTACGGAGTACCGCAAACCTTTATCCGCCTCATTCAACAACTATATGAAGATGCCACATGCCAAGTGATTCACAATGAAAGGTCAGCGGCGCTTTTGAAGTGAAGACAAGGAGGAGTGAAACAAGGCTGTCTACTATCAGCCATGATATTCCTGATTGTGGTCGACTGGATCATGCAGTAAACAGTGGGGCTCTGTGAGAAGAGGGGGATACGCTGGCTGGACTGCGGAAAAGAACCTAGAAGACTTGGATTTCACCAGTGATGACTTGTGCCTGATGTCACATAAACTTGAAGATGTACAGCAAAAACTAACAAGTTGACAGAAGAGGCAGGGCAGTGCAGTGCAGCGAAGACGGGACTTCAAGTGAATATAGAGAAGACAGAGGTGGTGAAGATACCCAACCAACAACTCCAACAACAACAACAAACTCCAGTCACCATCAACGGGAGAAACTTAAAGGAAGTAACCTCCCTCACCTATCTAGGCAGGCAGCACTGTTTCAACAACAGGCAGCATAGGCACAGACGAGGGTGTCAAAGTCAGAATCGGAAAAGCAAGACAGGCATTCATTAGCCTGAAACCAGTATGGAGATCTTCTGCACTGCACTCAGCATGTGGAACAACATCCGGATTTTCAACACCAATGTCAAGTCACTGCTTCCTTATGGTTCAGAGACTTGGCGCGTCACGAAAGGCATTTCCAATAAACTACAGACATTCATCAACAACTGCCACCTACGCTGGCTCGCTACTGAAGATCAGATGAATTGCCAGAATAATAGGAATAAGCAACAAGGAGCTCTGGGAACGAACCAACAAAGCAAGAACCTATCACGCAACAAATATGCACTGGAAGGAAGTGGAGATGGATTGGGCATGCACTGAGAAGGCCGACTGGGACATCACGCGTCAGGCCAGTTGGTCGAGTGGAATCCCCATGGGAAGCGACGAGTTGGACGTCCGAGGTGAGGGTGACATGGAGGAGGTCGTGCGAGGAGGAAATGAGAGCTTCTGGGCTGTTGTTGAACCAGGTTCAAAAGATCTCAGAGAACAGAGGTCACTGGAGGCGTGCTACTGAAGCCCTATGTTCCACTAGGAACCCAAGGGACTAATAATAATAAATTATAGAAAATGAACACATCTAGTGTTTACGTATTGAGCACTAATCTTTAGGTAAAATCAAATAACCTGGATTTGTTTTTCGTGTGTTTGGTGACGATAACATGTTACCTTTCAGTTTATAGGCAATTTTTTCTTAGAATTAATTAATTTACACCATCTTTCTAATGGCCAATATATTTCCTCATCGAAAAGTTGAATAATCGTTAGACCACATTTTAAGGTTACAAAAATCTTCTCCGTGATTATTAACTTTTCCTATTCACATTAAATCCTCACTACAGATTCATCTCACTGAATCTCTATCCAATACAAGTTGCTCTTTTGGTGGTAATTTGAATGCAAAATATCAATCGAATCCTTCAAATTTTGATCTAAATAATAAACAACATTCTATGACTACTGCCAGTGCTTCACCTATTATTCCTCCAGCTTCAAATAATTCTGCTGCATTTTTCTTCAATGGTAAACCACGTTATATAGCCACACAAGGAGCTGTTGCTAATTCACAAGATGCTTTTTGGCGTATGATATGGCAAGAAAAAAGTTCTGTTATTGTTATGATAACAAAAATAATGGAGCGTGGTAGAGTAAGTTTTATACTATAGAATTTTTGTCAGTTTTACATTGGAAACTTGATTAGGGAATCGTTCTTTTATGAAAGTTGTATCCTATTTCAATATAAAACACATTTTATTTAGTAGAATGATGTATATTTTGCTGACCACTCCGTTGAGCAAACCTTCTTGTTCCATATTGAATGTCACTAAGATCTCTAGTTAACACTTGAAATGTTTGTACTATTGTAGTGGGTGTTGCTGATAAGAATGAATTTAAGTAGTATATGTTGAGAAGGCGGCTGAAATCATAGGGGTAAATATTCTGCCCAGACAAAGGCAAGAGATAATGTGGGCGTATTAAGACGAAATCAAGATAGAAACAGAAGAGGAAATGAAGTACATTATGCAAATGACTGTCTTAGTGGAAAGTGTACAATATTTCATGATTACTGTACTCTATGTCAATAATAAAAATTTTTTCATCGTCTCCATCTTGTCGCTTTCTACAATTGGTATCGCTGCTTCTGGACCTGATGAAGATCCGTGGCCTACAGTGTTCGAGGATAGAAACATCAAGGTCTTCCTCAGGGACGTCGAGTTGGTTGCAGAGCTGATAGGTGTCCAGGATCCAGGAGCGAAGGTCGTGGTGCTTGGCACATTGTTGAAAGGCAGAGCACAAACAGCATATGACGGCGTGGAATGCGTGGATAGAAAGGAGATTTGGCAGAATCTTTACTCATTGTTACCCGTTCAACATATACTACTTATATCCATTCTGATCAGCGACGCCTACTACACTATAAGAGTTGCGTAATCTTTATTTTAAGGCAATTAATCTTATTAGAGGAGGGTCTAATGACTGTGTTCGAAGTCTTTTGAACTTGTGGGGGTATAGTGATTTTTCAAGTTGGTATTCATCATGGACTGACACCAGTTAGAAGTACATTGGAAACCTGGGTGGCTGTTTTTATCCTGATATGGGACTCTTCACCACTGCACACCCATAACCCCATCAGGGTCGAACCCAGGACCTTCAGGTTTTGTGATCAGCATGTTACCAGTAAGCTACCCGGTCGGAATCCAATGGTCCATATTTCCCGTTTCTGTTAGTTCATGACGTGACACAACCGTCACCCAATGTCTTCGTTGAGTATTTTCGTCACGGCCACCTGGTTTCCAGTGTTCCTCCAACTGATGTCAGTTCATGATGAACAGCAACTTGATAAATGTCTTTGTTATCGAGTGCTACAGTATCATATAAATTCCTTAAATAAGTCTGGAAATCCCTGAAATGCCTTCAGAGCTAATCATAGCATGTTGAAAGTTCGAGAAAAACCATGTTATCATACCTGTGAGACTCAGATTGGTTAAAGAGCTGTCTAGAAAAGTGTAGAACTTTCCAAAGTTATCAACAATTGTGTATAAACCGTTAGTGTCAGTTCACATCCGACTGGAGAATAAACCTACATCATTTTTGCCGCTTCTTTCTGTTTTCGAGGAACCAAGCGATCATCAAGGGTGAAGTCTATGGTTATTGTTCAAGAAGAAGAAGAAGAAGTTAACAGAAAGAAAGCCAAAGGAATGCAAATTATTGTATCAGTAATCAAAAGGATCTGAAAAAAACTTACGGAAACAAATGACAATTAAGCGCATTAGCTGTGATAAGATCTCTAATATTTGTATGCATTACTTGGTCTGCATTAAGACGACAGATTTCCCAAACATCATCGGCTTGATTAAAACATGACTTGCTATAATATTGAAAATACCTTCCTGATTATACAAATGTACAGCCTATTCATCACACTAGGCTACAGTATCTCCTAATATAACGAAGACAACGACGTTTTACAAAATGTAAAGCTATTGTTCAGTGGTTTGGCGAGATCTTAAAATGACCGATACTATTTAACGATAGAGTGAGTCATGCGTCGATGAAACAGTTCAACCAGAATGATTCTCAGAGAGAAATCAAAAGACTGGTAATCGCTTAAACTTATAGTATGTGAAATTGAAAAATTTTAACGGTGGAAGCGGATCGTATTTATCGCGTTTATAATGACCTTGAGAGACAAGGAATAATTAGTATATTCAAAGAGACAGTAGCCAATCAGAACACTGGCGGGTCATATGAAATGTGATCCAACAAAAATAGTTCAAAATGTATAAATGTTAAGTATAAAGTATAAGGGATATCAGCATCTCTAACGAAAAGGAGTACAGAAAGATGAAATAACAGCTAATAAAACTGGTCAAACGTAAACGATCACAGAGTTAAGTGATGCGCATGACATAATATCCTCACTGTACAATTTATATATTTCCTTATCGTTGGTAGATTATGGAAAATTTCGGTTTTTTTTTTAAACAAACATTATTTATGAACCCGAAAGTTGTTGAATGGTATAAATTTATTTTTTTTTGTGTTTTCTTACTTTTTCGAAAACCAGAATAAGTGTATTCGTTATTGGCCAACCGTGGAGGAAGGTACACGTGAATTTCCATGTTATGGAGGTACTATCCGTGTGCGTCATATATCAGAAAGGAATTCTGTCAATTATACATTGAGAGAACTCTTTCTTACAAAAGATCCTAATAAACTGTCAGAGAATATATCAACTAATGCACACACTGATGTTGTCTGTTCTCCTGTTAATTCTAATCATATTACTGGTAATTTTTCATTGAATCAAAATAGTTGCGAATTAATTAATTGTAAAACGAATGAAATAAACAACAGCACAACTATGAGCAGAATAAATACTGAATGTAATTCTATTCAAGTGAATACAGAAGATGGATTCACTGTTTATCATTATCATTTTACTGTTTGGCCTGATCATGGAACTCCAAGTGATCCTTCTTGTGTATTAGATTTTATGCATGATATTTCTGCCCGACAGGTTAGTGCAGTTTTTTTTAATATTTTTTTAATATTTTCTTAATAACTATTGGAAAGTATAACTGAAGGAAATGGTATTTAATTTAACTCATTTGATGTTTACACCTACAAGTGTTTTATTCTAATCGTTCTACTTATTCAACTGATGATTCTGAATTGAACGAAACATGTTTTCATAAACGTAGAGTTGTTATTCATTGATCTAGGCAGTTGACTTAAAACTAGTGAGTCATGGGTTCGAATACTCTGTTTACTAAGGTTAGGGCAACCAAGTAGTATGATTGGCCATAACACAGGCATGGCTCATTGTCTACTGTACACATGTATATAAGGTTACTAAGTGGACTTCGATAAGCCAAGATAAAGTACTATCGCTATTAAGGGTAGCTTCCGAATTTTCTTTCTATGGATATTCATATTTGAAGAGAGTTTATGCATCGAAGTAAATATCCTATATAATCCATTATCTTCTGTTTGGGGACGTTATATGCTCCGAGAAGATATAGTTCGTACGCTTGACTGACAGCTAACTGCGTACTCATGATCCACCGACCGCAACCTGGATGCAGTAGAGAAGAAAACTGAGCGAGAGAGTTTATTCCTCTGAGAAGAACAATCAATTAATGCAAACACACGTGTATATGTATACATAACAAATGACCTTGTCCACAATTTTAAACATTAACATAGTAAAAGTAGGCATACACCAATCAGTGAATTACCTTGAAAATGGAGGCGAAAATGAACCACTGTCCATCCCGTAAAAAGTGGCGCGAAAACGACAATTTAAAAATCTTCAAATCAATAAACAATGTTTTATGCAAATCTGGGGTCCTCCAGCAGAAAACCATAATTGTATCATCCTTATTGTCTTTATGGGTTCCAGTTAGTATTGGATAGACTGTTTTTGTTGCGGTATATATTTCTCAAATCATTGCAAGCTTATTCTGATGACTTTCTAGGCATACAGTTAACACTTTTTAGCCTCTTACCCTTGAAAGTGTTACCCTGTTGTCATCTTGACAACTCGATGTATTCCTCATTGTTCAAAGGTTGTTGTTGTCTTTACGCATATGTTTCTGCTACTTATATGCTTGTTATATTGTATATTGTTGTGAAATAAAGTGACAATTTGAAGTGACATTATTTAGTAGAAAAAATCCTGTTACCACAGTGAAATGACCAGTTAGCACGTTAAAGAAAGTAACTGCCTGAAAAGCAAACGTATTTTCTTTGGAAGCGTTGATGCAAGCTGATTTCAGCTGACTTGCTGAGTTGTAACTGACTGACTTGAGAAGTACACTTTTATTTTGTGGAGTATTCAATAATATCCTGCCGAAGAATCTGGTTGCCATAGTCGTATACTTTAGGACTATCATAAAACAAGTATTATTAACAAAACTAAGTTTACTGATGTAGGGTAGCATTATGATACATGGCCTACACCACGGAGGCAACGGTAGTCGAACACTTTAAACCTTCTCATATACTCCACTTTTAATGAGCATGTTTCACAACCATACAGTAGAAGGCAGCAAACTGCAGCGCAGCACATCTGACCCTTTATAGGAAGTCAAATATTACGGCAGCGTCACCGTAAGTACTACAGGCAGATGACGTCCAGCTGACCCTTTTATATCCGTACCGAGATTTGGTTGGTCACTAACTTACCAAGCCCGTCAAGTGGTCAACGCACTCAACCGCTTCACTCCTTATTGTTAAACAAGGCACTAGCGAAGACCATTTCGGAAGCAATAATTTTCATTTTGGATGGTTACAAACACAGTCCAAATGTTTTCAAGTGGCCACCACTCAAGGCGTCTAGTAGACGTTACAGTGGGAGAATAGATAGTTTTCGACAGAACTCATCTTTTCAAATCCTAACTACAGTTAGTAGTCGCGTGAGCAGAGATTTCAAATAGACAACGTTGAGTTTACCTGTTTTCTTTTATCCTTCAATGTATAGGTGATTTTCATTACTGAAATCCAGTTGAGCAGTGCGCCTTCTACCTTAGAAATTATTGCTATACTTACACCTCCGAGACCACAAGAACCACCCATCGACCATTAAATCAGCGGACACTGAAGTAATAATTTGTTGAACTTGCCACATCACATTAGTCGGGTGAAAACGTCGATTTGACGGCTGCAATTTTTAGTTTCCAGACCGTTCCCAAAAGACCAAGGATGCCATTCCGCGAACTGGAATCGTTATCGAGAGCCTCAGAACAGCTAGAAGAAATGATTGATTAAGTTAATCCCTGTGGAGAGATTGACCTAATCACAGGGTAATTTTCTGTGGACCTAAAATATGCAGATAATATAGTCCTATTAGGTGGAGACGCTGACAAGATGCAAAGTCTTCTGGACACCGCGAGTGTCAACTTGAGAATATTTGGGATTCGTTTCCCACCACCCAAATGCAGATCGTTGCTCCAGGAATTGTTTTCAACGGTGCCCCGGCTAACAAGAGAGAATAAAATAGTCCAATGCGTTGGACACTTCACTTACGTAGGAAGTCGGATCAGCCGTGGTGGCTCAGCCGGCGAAACCTCTGCACGGAAACAAAAGTCTGGATTGGGTTTTGTCAATTCACGTCGTCTGTGGCGCCACCGCAATATCTGGCTGTCTTTTAGGAGTCGGGTGTACTGTGCTGCAGTCATCTCTGTCTCACTGTATGGCTGTGAAACATGGCCATTAAAGGTAGGAGACAGGAGAAGACTTCAGGTGTTCGAACATATAATTGCCTTCGTAGCATCGGGTGTGTTTTGTGGTGTCATCACTTGAGTAACGCAGAAGTCAGTTATAGAGTTTTAGGAAAGAGAGGTAAGTCAGTTGATGCTGTTGTGAACGTCCATCGACTGAGATGGTTGGGACATGTATTATGTATGCCTAGCCACCGTCTGCATCGTCGCAAAATGTTGGTCGAAGTAGGTTCGTGCTGAAAAAAGGCTCAGCGTAGCCAGACTAAAACAGCACCAGTGGATGAAGTCCTTGACTGTTCGTTTGAGCCATGTGGGGCAGTGCAGACTAGCCAGTTGGGGTCAACGGGACAAGAGAGACCAGTGATTGGAGATTCACTCTAGGTGATATGGCTCAGAACCGATGTCAGTGGTGCCAATACATACCCATATTACCCTTACATTAACCGCTATACTCAATCACATTATCTTCTCATTTTTCCTCTGTTTTACTACTTTTTACTTCTGATTGACTTTTCTTTCTTTTTTCACCTTCTATTTTACTGCCTTATTAGTTGGTGTACTGGTATGACGTGTGACAACTTGAACCGTTACTCAGTAATGCCTGGTCCTATGTTGATTTTGATGATGATAATAATAATACTAATAATAATAATAACAATAGTAATAATAATAATAGCGGTATTGACCGAGAGACGTGAATAGATATCTGAAAGCAAAATATGGCGGTTGATAATGGTGTGAAAGAGCTGGAGTTTAACTGCGTTGTGTAGGTGATTGACGCTTCCTAGCCCCACACATCTTCGAAGATTACTTCTCCAGGTATTTGATAAAGACCTTGGGTCAGTTATAGTAGTGCGTGACCGTAGTGCCCAAGTGACGCCTTCTTGATTTTTTCGAATCGATTTATAAACCCATATCCCTGACACCAGTATGCTGCAGGGTAGGGGCAGTGCGCAATTTTCGGGATTGACTTATTCTGAGCCTTAATCCCGTAGGGAAAGCAGCATCAGCATTATCATCCGTGGAGAATACCTTACTGCTGTTAAACCCCGTTCAACCAGCAGTATGACTTCACCCTACAACGTGTATAATAAAGTAATAATTAACATCATGATGGTAGCTACATCTTGGGTTACCGCTTTCCAGCATACCCTTGTGATATGGTAGGACGGAACGTATTGTGAACTAGCCTACTGTGATATACTGTATTTCCACGTTACATTTCTTTTGGATATGATTATTGGCAATAATTTATTAAAATAGGTGTACAACTTGGGCACTGTGGTAGAATTTAATTTCATATTAGATTTGTTTATTTGATTTATAACACACAGTAAGTGGTCTAGTATTATTTACTTGATGACGTTTCAAGCATAAATTACTCTATTGCTCATAATCATATCAGTATGTAATCACAAAACTTTCAACATTTGATTTCTATAGTTACGTCACCACATATGAGTTGTTTTTATTGGTAAGAAAATCTTCCATGCGTCCCTGGTATAGGTGTTGCATCATTCATATTACAGGTGTGTTGTGTGTTGGTTGATTCGATGAACAAAGATTCAGTAATCAATCTATCCCTCTCTCTCTCTCTCTCTCCACTTAATTATACTGGACTAAGGTAAAGTGGCTTTATCTCACCCAGCATATTGTGTGGTTGTGTTAATACATCCAATGCAATAGCCGAGTTTTTTTTTTCTAGATTATTGATCTTATTTAGGTCTGTTATTCTATATTCAGCTAAGTTCGTATGTTCGGCTATTCTAACTGACCCCGACCGACTAGTTTGACGTATATACTTGACCTCACTCTCAGTCATTACATGGAATTCGACAGATTATATTATTTTGCTTAACTGATTCTATGGGATCCTTAAGCTAGCCGACAAAGTTTATCTCTGAATGAGTTTGTAGGTTTAAATGCCACCTTAATTCCAGCTGTGTTGAGGATTCTACATAAAGTTTCTGAGATACCCTCCATATAGGGCAATATAAAGAAGGCTGTGGACTTTTTTTTTTCGCGTGTTGTCCTTATTAGTTGCACTCGTGTAACTGTCATTATTTTTGTTTTTTGTATCCGTAAGGAAATTGTCGATATGTTCCGATTTCAACACAGTAAGTGTGTCATCCACATATCGCCACCATATTTTTGGTGTAGGACTAAACGTTTGTAAAACCATGTTTTCCCAAGTATCCATAAATATATCCGCTACGATTGGGGATATTGGCGATCTCATTGCTACTCCTGTTTATCTGTATATTTTGTTCTGAAATTTGAAGACTGTGATGGTCAG